CACACACACACACACACACACACACACACACTGACTTTGTTGGCACATGCTGGCACAATCAAAGACACAAAAAAAACAACATGATCAGCACACACACACAAAAGCAGAGGTTAAAAAAGCCTCTTAAAATGAGGAGGAATAAAAGTTCCAGCTTGATGTTTAATTGAAATATTACGTTTTTAACAGATGGTTTTTACTTTTACTGGCATATTTTTGCCAGAAATGTCTTAAAACAATTATGCCTTCTATAGATAATATAAATTTGATTTTTTTTGTATTATATTCAATACTAATATAAAGCACATATATCAAACTCAAGGTCCGTGGGCCAAATGGGGCCCAACACTGCAGTTTATGTGGTACACAAAATCTTCAATGATGCATTATTGACTCAAAATAAGTGTATTTTGGTTTAAAGCCAGCATTGACCCTAAAGTACATCTTCCATCTTGCATGTTATTTGACACAAAACGACCCCATCCCCCCACTAGGTTCAGAAGCAGGGGTTCAGAAGCAGCCAGTGAAATTTTCTATGTAATACGTCCATTCAACTGCATTTATGCTGACTACTTTTGCTGTGGCCCAGTTGTACTGGGATGTGGGAGTTTCAAACGTACAAGTCGTAAATTTAAACTGGAACGCTCCTCCAGTGGGAACTACCTATCGGAAAGGGAGAAAGTTCAGAATTCAAGACAGCAGCTATGTATTACAACTCAACAGTGAGCAAAACTTTTTTACTTTGACTCATAATAGTGTTTCTGTGTTAAATATTTCACATTTGGTCAGTCAAACACACCGTACCTTTCAGTGTTTATAAGAAGACATCTTAAAATACTGTTTCTATGCAGGAAATACCATGTAGAGCTCAGTTATTGTTTGTTTAACAATGATAGCAATGATTGCAATGAGACAAAAAATGTGTGTGTAAAATGTGTTTCTGTTTAGTCGAAGTTTAACACAAAACGTCAAAGTTAATTACAACTGGCCCTTTAAGGACCACCATAATGCTCAATGCCCAAAGTGAAAATGATTTTGACATCCCTGACATAGAGCAAAACACTTGTACAAATTCACTGTCATACAGGTTTCTGATAGTTGCACAAACTTTACTAATGTTTAACAGCAATAATGAAAAACTGTTGTAAAAACAATAGATCTTTCCTGTGAAATTGTCTGTTGGGGAGACCCATAAAGAAGGGAACAGCTGAAAGAACAACTACACATAATAAAGAAAAATGATCTTAACTAAACAAGACAGTCAAATAATGATAATGCTCAAATTTTGAATGGCTGAATGCAGCATCCAGCATGAATACAAATGATGAAATGTTAGTTTAGAATAAACTTTATGTGCAGAGGATATACACAAGGCTTCACTAATAATAATAATAATAACAACAACAACAACAACAACAACAACAACAACAACAACAACAACAACAACAACAACAACAACAACAACAACAACAACAATAATATGGTAGAAGGNTTGTTTTTATAGTCTCAGACAGAAAGCTGCACTCACTGCAAACTTTAAACTGGATGTGACTCTGGAGTCCAGCGTGGCCTCAGACAGGTCCATGGTCTCGCCGCTCCGAGACTTGACCCTGACGTAGGACTTCCTGTTTGTGGAAGGGTCCGTGCGCTCCCCGTAGTCCTGCATCCTCTCACACACGCTCTCCATCAGCTCCAGGAGGTTTCCCTCAGAGCGAGCCAGAGGAACCTGAAGCCAGAACGGGTCAAAAGAAAACTGAAACCCATCAAAGCAAACACCAGAGGACATTCTGTCCAGACGCAGTGCGATGGACGTACAGCTGGTGTCTCACCTCTCTGATGGACTGAGACCCATCCGGATTGATCCTGAAGGAGCCTGTCTGGATCATTTTCTTGGGGTCTATCTGGGAGATGGCCCAGTCCATCTCATCCACCAGAGCCCTGCAGGCTGAGGACAGAAACATGAGACATGAACATGAGAAGTTCTCAGAGAAGACAGAGACAACAAACCTCCACATCTGATGTCCTGTCCTTGTCTGGCAGCCAGGCTGAAGCTCAGGAGGAGACCCACAGCTACACACGACGTGAGGAAAGCAGCGTCCCTCATTCTGCTTCTTCTGAATGCACACATTTCACACCACAGTTTGATTCAACACATGCAGGAGGTGAACGGTCCTTTAACTCTCAGCCACCACTAACAACAACAAATACAAAAACAACCCCGTGCTTCACAACCTTAAATAAAAATACAACTGTAAAAAAATATACTTTTACAATCTTTTAATTCAACTTACATGTCTCCAGCAGCTTTCAGGAGCCAACCTTCACGTTTTTTACACGCTGTTCCATCGTAAGCGGAGAGACGTGATGACGTAGCACCGGAGACCTCTCCAACAGCGCCCCCTTGTGGCCGGGAAGATCACAGCAGCTCTGTCATGCCAGTGGCTCCATGTAATTTTCACAGGTAGTTTTTACACATATTAAATATAAACAGAAGACTGGAAATAATCTAATTATAGTATTTGGGAAATTTCATATTCACAAATGTAAATTTTCATTAGCTTCTCCTTATTGTTCAGTTTTGGTTAAGGAAATCAAAGTATATTTAGCCATTATTGTACAAAAAAAGCTTTAACCACACATGAATGCTGTAGGTCAATTCTTATTTTTAATTATCATAATGTTTGTTGTACTTAATACATTTATAGGAGAAGCCTATCCCCTTGGTCTTACATATTTTGTGTTCTGTTCCTATTTCTTTCAGTGTGATTGTACTTGTAAAGATTCTTTCTTCAGTTGAAAAAAAAAACAATGCCTCCATGTAAGCCAGGCCACTATAATAATAATAACAACAACAACAACAACAACAACAACAACAACAACAACAACAACAACAACAACAACAACAACAACAACAACAACAACAACAACAACAATAATATGGTAGAAGGCTTTGCACTTTTTACTTCTTTCATCTCCAGCTGGTATAAAATATCTTGTTATAAACTAATAGTTCCACCTGAAGTCATTCTTTTTATTTTTTATTTCCTTCTTTGTCTTAACATGAATTGTGAGGAAGCAAACATCTGGGCATGGAGAACAAAAAGAGTTCAAAATTTAAGACCTGGTATTCTTTGAAGAAATGCACATCGTTTGTCACTTTTCATGTCAGTTATCATTTTGGGGCTGAGAAATGATGGCCTTGTGGCTGATCAGGTCACACCTTGTAAATGGTGGGTCTCACGCGACAAGTGTGATATTGTGACATCTGTTGTTAGACTGTTATGCATCTGAGTTGAGCAAAGAGCCAAAAGGGATAACTTTATTGACACCATTTCAATAACACAAATAACAGGATATCTTTGCAGATTTAAAAACAGCTGTATTATGTTTCTACCATGTCAGAGAGATAAATCATATCTTTCTGAAGAATTGGTTGACTTACAAAAGACCTTTATTGATACAAAACTAGTTACAGTTACATAATATAATACAATAAAATAAGCATGTTCTCAGTTTATTTGATTTTTAATCTTGGGATTAAAGTTCGCAAAGTGTTTCTGAAGAAACTAACCCAACTTTGCTCCATTTTTACCATTTGTTTTTATTGGTAGACTTTTATTATTATCTTAGTTGGTAAGGTGACAGTGGCACAAATGAAATGTTTTGCTTTATGTTCTAAAAAAATCCTTCTTGTTGTTCTTTATTATGGCTGTTGTCCACCAATGATGGTTTTTTTTTTTTTGTTTTGTTTGCCTTTCAACCCTAAAATAATTTGTCTTTACATTTTGGCCTGACATTTAAAACACTACTTTGACTTTTTTCCCCTCAACATTTCATTTCACCTTTTATCTTTAATGAAGACACATGAACAATAAAAAACTCGTATTATTTTTTTTATTTTATTATTTTTTTGTATTTGAAGACATGCCCACACTATTACAAATGTTTTTAAAAATGGTTTTGCTGTATGAATGCCTCTCATCCAAACACAAACTGAGCTCATCCATCTCATCCTGGTCGCAGGGGGCAGCAGCTTTAGCAGGGAGGCCCAAATCTCTCACAGCCACTTCTTCCAGCTCTTGGACTCCAAGGCTAGCTGAGAGACATACAGTAGTCTCTCTAGACCTTCCCCAGGTTCTCCTCCCAGTTGGACATGACCACAAAACCCCTCTAGAGAGGCGTCCAGTGGGCCTTACCTAAACCACCTTAAGTGGCTTCCCTCAGTGTGGAGGAGCAGTAGCTCTACTCTGAATCTCTCTCGGATAACTCCAACTACTATCCATTTCTAGTCAGATAAACAAATAAAAAGCTTTCCAGAAATTATGATAGACTATTTTTCACATCCACTTTTATTTTGTGAGTAAAATCACATTTTACATTAAAATGAATTGTTGTTCTTTTCTTCACAATCTTGAAGAAAGTTGTAAACAAAGCAATAAAAATCAAAATTATTTTTAGGAAAATCTGTGACTGATCTAAGCTCTTTCTCTGTATTTTAATAAGTTGTTCTTGGGCACATTCTCACCACATAGTGGTGTAAGCATGTGTATTGCATAACATTTGTTCCAATGTGTAGATGGAAAGAAAAGTTTAAATAGTGAAAAAAATAATGTTTCTTCAAGTAATTTCTCAAGTAGTATAAATGATGCTGGGTGGTCCTAATATGTTGTCGAATGTGAAATGATCAGTGCATCATGTTGTTTTGATTGTTTTCTTTCTTTCTTTCTTTCTTTCTTTCTTTCTTTCTTTCTTTCTTTCTTTCTTTCTTTCTTTCTTTCTTTCTTTCTTTCTTTCTTTCTTTC